GACCAGAATGGGACACTCACGATACAACATAAATACACCATCCATAGCATCCAAACAGAAATCTAAATGACTTACCCTGTAGAGGATGTATGAAGCTCCGTCTTTGACAAAGTAATAGTGATCATTGAAACATGCCGAGTACTCTCTACACTGCAGCAGAAGACACAACCACTCAAATCAATATCAAGCGGGGGAAAAAAAATTCATATCAGCATACGCTTAGAAACATAGAAGAGTATATGGTTTCATACCGATCCAGGCCTTCTTCCAGGGGCTCATACACGTCAGTAATATCAGTTGATCCAATAGAAGTATTCTGATGGAGACCAACAATCCTTCTCTGGAAGAAGAAGAGCTTTATCAGCAAATAAGTATAGACACAAATGCTCATGCACACATGAAGCACATGTATATGCCACATGGAAAAATTATCTCACCTTTATTAGTTCAGCAATCATCACAGTTTTATTGATAGCTCTGCCCATTGCCTTGAGAATAATTTCATCAGACCCTTTCTCCTACAGAAGATACAAGTATTTTAAGGTAGAGTGAAAAAAGGGATTAATGTGGAAAAATACGAACCAAAGACAGACGCAATGGGAGGCAATTGAAGTTGCAACTTCTACCTCAATTGTGAAACCCCAAAGCAAAAAAGTAACTAATATGTATATAGAACTACTGCAAATTAAACTAAGAGAACAAAAACTAAAGTGCCTTAAGAGAAACAGCAGTTTAAGACTTCTTGTGTATGATGGGATCTAAGCTTCAGTTGCAATTCTTGGACGAGAAGAGAGGGAAGAGTATGTTCGCAATCAAATAAAAACTTAACCAATCTACGCCCACAAATGTGTAGGATTAAATTTAAACATGGATATCGGAAACAAGCGGTAGTTTTTAGGCAAATTGAGGTTAGAACTTGTCAGACATAATACAAACCCCGTTGTCATGTTTGCTGGATGTATAAATCATAAATGTTAGCATCAATTTTAATGTTTCCACCTACAAAATAGTTCATATTCATTTCATCCTTCTTTGTTAGACTTCCAGTCCCCAAAGATCGTTTAAATGTCATCTTGACACTCCATTTCCCGTAACCCAAAAAACGCAAGACTTTTTTTTTTCTCTCTCTCTCTCTCTCTTTTGTTTTTTTGTTTTTTTGTTTTTTTTGTTGTTGGTACAATTCAAAACCATGAGAGACCCGCAGAACTAAAAGATATAAACAATTTGGAAAGTTCACGCAGAAAAAAGAATTACATACTCCAACATAATAGTCATTTTCATTCAAGGGTAGAGGTTTTTTTTTTCTACAAACACACAAAATGTTGTGCAATATGAACAAAACAAATGAGTAAACAAAAATAATAAAAAGGGCATGTTTGTGGTTGGCATAGCAGTGAGGAAAAAGAGGAGGAACCTGAAGGAGAGTGGTGGCGTAAGTAATATAGTTCCTCATTCTGCCTTGAGCGGTTATGCGAATCTCATTCTCGTTTATAGGCGCAGCCTCGGCCTTGGGCTTCTCCACCCTCTGGAACTTATCCATCTGCTCTGCGCACCCACACAACCAAACAACAAACAAACCCTAATGAAACGGCATGAGCAAGAGAAATACAGTGAGAGAAGATATGAATTAGGGGTAGGTGTTACCGTTTTACAGAAGAGCGCTGGGAGGGAAGAATCTGCAACAAGCTGTGGCTCGGCAAAGCAAAAGCAACCACTGCGTTTTGTGTGTGGTTTAGGTTTTTTTTTTGTTTTTTGTTTTTTTTGGGGTTCTCTGCGTTTGGGGTTTGTATGTTCGGCTTTCAAAAGCCTTGTGCTCCAGATTTGAAATTACGTTCCAAAAAGCCTCGTTTTTTTTTTTGTTTTTTTTTTTTGTTTTTGGTGCGGTTTTGGATTGACTTTTTATATAATTGTTTTTTTTTTAATGAGGGATTTTTTATATAATTTTTTTATTTTTTATGAGGGACCTTTTATATAATAAAAGCCTAATTTTAAATCAGATAACTAATGGATCAGATGATTTCTCAGAGAGAGAGAGAGAGAGAGAGAAAGGCTTTTCCGGTCACGCTCTTATCGCCACCAAGACCGCTAATTCCTATTTTAGACCAAGTCCAACGATCACAATTTGGAGCTCCCAAATGGCAAGCAGATGTTCTTACTTCTTTCATAAATAAAAACTAGACTCTCTTGCCAACCAAGGACAGACCTGGGATTTTAAAATGGAGTGGACTAAATTTTAGATCCGGCTAAATTTTATAGGGAGAATTATGGAATTAATCATAATATTATATAAATTTAATTTAAGGACATATCATTTTTATTCTATTTATTTGAAAGTCCAATTTTACACAAACAATGTCAGCAACAATTGATTATATATGCTTAAAATTAACATTAGTTGACAACTCACAACTCATATTGCAACTTATTTAGTATATGTGTTTTATACTAACAATAACAAAAGAAAAATACTTGACTGGGTTGTAGCCCAGTTTGTACACAACGCAGGTCCGTCCCTGTTGCCAACCTAGCTTGGTGAAAAAATGTCTTATATTCGAATACTCATGTGACTGTAACAAACTCCTCTTCTTTTATTAATTTTTTTATTTACAAAAACTAGATACTTGGCACGTGCGAAGAAAAAAAGAAAAAAAGTAGTGGACTGGGTTGTTAACTGTTAATTAGTTTTAAGTTAATTTATTTAAAAAGTTTGTATTTTACCCTTAAAATAGTACATTGTGGTTAGGGGTGGTTGCGGTTCGGTAACCGCGAATTTTTGCTCAAACCGCAAACCGACCGATTATTTGCGGTATGGTGATTTTTGAAACCGCAAACCGACCGCTTTTTGCGGTTTAAAACCGCAAGTTCTCAAGCATTCACAAAAATATAAATTCACAACCTAAATAAATAAATACACAACCTCAACTTCTCAAGCATATATAAATTCACAATCTCCTCAACTTTTTAAGCATTCACAACCTAAAGAAAATTAAAGTTACAATTTCAAGCATTCCAATTAAAGTTAAACTTCTTAAGCATTCCAATTCCAAATCCTTTAAAGTTACAAACCAAAAAGAAAATGCAAAGCAAAATGAATTAAAGTTACAACTAAAAAGAAAAATATAATTCAAAGTTAATTAAAGTTACAAACTAAAAGAAAAATGCAATGCATCAATGTTACAAACTCAAGTGTTGGTGGTGAGTGGATTTGAAGAACATTGTTGTGTTGTGTGAGCACCAATGCTATCTACAAATAAAACAACATAGTTTAGTATATTTTATTATAAGAAAATCAAATAAAACAACATAGATTGGCTATACTTTGCGGTTTGCGGTAACCGCAAGTTTTGAAAATCAAATACCGCAAATGCGGTTCGGTTCTTCATACCGCAAATGCGGTTCGGTTTACCGCGATCGCGGTGTCATTGCGGTAAATAGTCGGTTGGTTTATGCGGTTTTTCAGTCTAAAATGCCACCCCTAATTGTGGTTGTTTGGCAAATTAGTTACCCAACGATATTTTGAGGGTTATTGAATCCCTTACATTATAGGCCCCGTTTGGTTCATATGAAAGGAGGCTTGGGGATGGAAAATCAATTGCTTTCCTTTGCCACCCCTACCTATAATTACAATATAGCATTAAATACATTCTTTTTCTTATTTGATTTCATATGAGTATGTTGGGGTCCTTTTCCATTCGAAGGCTTGTCCGGGCTTATTGATTCTTGGACTGCCATAGAGTGGTAAATCAAGCATTTGTTGTCCCTTTTTTTTTTGAGTTAGCAAGAACTAGGCCCAAAGCATCCGGAGGGATAGTAGTAAGTCCTAGGGGAGTACTTCGTTCTTCTTCCAGCGGCTGCGTGTTTTGTGCTAATGTTTCCGGCAACTAGACGAAGAGTTGGAGATGGTGAATTGATGTTGCACAAGTTTGGCATGAGAGTTTGCTTTGATGAATCAAGATGTTATTAGGCTTGGCATGATGAATCAACATGGAAAGTGATTTCCCCCCAAATCCGTTCCGTGAACCAATCGGGCCTAGGGGTAGACCTCATGTCCTTGTAGCTTAGACTATCGCTTGTACTCACCTAAGAGGAAATTAGTCTCATGATAACCCAACTTAAGCTTTTAACAATAACATTAGAAATTAGTTACAAAATACGATAAACATGATTAGACTAGAGTGAAAAAATAAGCACTCCAGTCCGTCATCCAAACAGTTCTTTTTCCCGTTAAGAGTCAGTCTCCAACGAGGCATTAAAGTCATCGACCTAGGTACACCACATCATAACATATATTTAGCCAGCATACACAGTAGAATATAGACACTTATATCTAGAGCACCATCATATAATTTTCTCCGAAGCTAAAATAGGCCATAAGCTTTTATCTCAACCTCAGGAAAAGATACACCTGAGTTTCACACATGGATTTCACCAGCGTACCCCTTAGAATTGTTCAAAGATAGTATTTATCAAGACAGAGTTAGAAGAGCAACAGTAGCACAAAGATGAGAAAGATCATGTTGTATTGGCAATGAGGTCCTTGATTTTGTCATCTTCCATGTCGATCGAAGGTTACATGTCAAGGAAGAGGCCATGAGAGAGATATAATACACAGACGAGAAAAAGAAGGGCGAAGAGCAAAGGAGAGAGAGAGAGAGATGAAGTTACGCAAGAATGAGGGAAAGTAAGACACGTGAGGATGAGATTAGACTTGCAGATGGGTTTCAGAAACCAGATCGGTCTCGGCCAATTCGTTTTGTTGAGTTGGCCTTCTGTTTTTCCCACCCCTAGTTGGTATCTTATGAACATGTTCCCAAGGATCCAATATGACCACTTAGGTCTACGTTGCCACAGTACTGTTCTATGGAAGTGGATGGAAGTGGGCGGGCTGTTAGTTAGAAGTTCAGCCGGTTGGTGTCTCCGGCACTACGCATATTGTTTGACAACGCCATTCCCAAAGGTGAAAATAACAGGGAGTTCGTAAGATTAAAAACACCAGCACAGATAAATTAAACTCTTAATATTAGTTAATGATATAAAACAGACGGTTGGAGTACAAAATTACACACTTTCTTCCACCAAGCGAGTGTCATGCATTCGATGTAATCATACATGTGTAAGGATCAAAACTAGGAAATTTTGTATCCTAAAAGGACAAAGAAATTGACCCAAAAAAATAAAAATAAAAAGAGGACAAAGAAATGACTAGCTGTAAACTAAAAACACCTCCACAAAGACACTTTGACTCCATTCTACGCTCCAAACCTGGCCTCGTACACTTGCGGTTGCTGCAGCACAGACCAAATGTCAATGAGAAACGATATAATTCATTTAATTAAACAGATACAAGAAGGAACTCCAAAAGGTAAAGTCAATGCATCTTGTAAAACCTATGGATTCAAAATCCACCAGGGAGTTCAGTTCTAGGTGTGTCCATAAGGTCTTTAGTACTATATTATTTTAGACCCATGCAAGAATTACCAAAAGCATATTTGACATCAGAAATGGAAAAATAAACTTCCGTCAGGGGCGAGGTACATTACCATGAACAGGGCTGAAATCTGCCTGCCTGCAAACCATCTCAAATGCATAGATTGTTGCGCTGCAGCTGCTGCTTCCACAGTTTCAAACCGCAAATACACAAAACCAGCAGTGTTTCTGCATTTAAACAAAACAAAGGATGGAAAAGAACTTCTCAAATTTTGAAATCCAAATCCTCCTCTCCCATATCAAACATGTATGCAGACGCATGCTTGCAAGAATAGCCTGTGTACTCTAAGCAGTTGTCCACATCATCAAACTGAAATAATATCGGAAAATGGAGAGCATTCTAACAAAACCTTCGTTTCTTAACCAGGAAAATATTAAAATATTTCATTACTCAATGTAACTAAACTTATGTTCGAGTTCTCTGTCATAAGGGTTTTGAGGAGCTATCCAATCCTCCTTTCGCTCTATGGTTTATGCTTAGAAAGTACTATAAACACACCAAAGGATTTTAAAAGGGGCCTCCCTCAAGGCTAATAAAGTGACAAAAGTAACAATTACATTATCAGATGCAAGATGCAAACGTGCCAACTAAAGGTTTTGACTAGTGCAATATGTAAGCTCATCTTATCAATTTGTATTGAGGCAGGTGAATTTCTAATGAACCAGACACACCTGTCCAACCGAAGCAGGAGATGCAGGTTGGTCCTTGAACCACCCTTAAATGTTTAAAATATTTTCAATCTCCCCAGATTACTTTGGTGTAGTGGCCAGGTCACAAGTGTTTTAAACCAACCCAGCCAGCACATCTAACACCCAATACATGCTCTTATTGTTGACCCTAATCCTTATTTCCCATCCCCAGTTGCCAACCCCTCTGATTTCTAGGGATGGGCAATGGGTACCAACCACCACCACCACCCCCTAGTAGGTACCCCATTGCCCATCCCTACTAGTTTCTCTTCTCTAAGTCTTCCATCCCATCAAGTCTCACCAGTCATTCAAAGACCCCTATTGATTTTCATTATCTGCTGTGCTTTATCTATTGAGGTGATTTTGGATTTTTTTTTAATTTTTACTGTTGGAGAATAACAAACTCAATATGCACTGCATGCTTGATTTTATGTCCAATGGGAGATTGTTTTTGTTCAGTTTGTGCTTTCATGCTTCATATTTTTCCTTTGCACACCCCGTCTTATGGTCTCTCTCCCTCTCTCTAACAGCCTCTCTTTTTTTCCCTGCTTTAAATCAAAACAAGTTGTTTCTGGTTTCTCTCTATTTCAAGTGCTGTAGTCTTCTTGTGGGTTATGTTGTTTTTTCAATGCTTCCACGCTCAAGCACAACCCAGAAACTGAACAACCCAACCCTTATTGAATCGGGTTGGGGTAGCTTGGTTGAAACTTCTTCAGTCAGTTTCAGTTTCCAATTTTCCCAAACCGGTAAGGTCTGGTTGGTTGGAAGCTTGGGCCTCAACCTACCTCCAAAACCAATCTGTGCCATGCCCAAATTTGTAAGATATTTTCATTAATACAAACGACATCTTCCAATACTGTCACACAAACAAGATATTTATAATATATTTTCATAACCAGTATGTATATATATTTATGCGCTTACTTGTCCACGTATATATGCTTCACCCGGCCACATTTCGAGCATTCTTCTTCAACATCATCTTTAATGTCTATATCAAAATCTGGCTCCCTCTGCAATATAATATTAAATTTCAAAACAAATTTTTTTTTCTTCGAAGGAAAGCAGAACAATCTTTACTAAAGAGCACAGACCTCAGTGGCTGGATCAAACATATTCTTTAATAGTAGACATTCACTGGGGTTTCCAATGGGTTCGGTGACTGCAAACGGCATAACTGTAGCCGGAAGAATTGGAGCAGAGACTGCCGCTTGGCCATTGATCGGCAAAGTACCAGCTCGTTGATTTGGTGCTGACCCATTCAGCACTGGAACTCCAAGAGACCCCGCAATACTGCCAAAAGAGAAACAATCAGAAACAAGATCATGACATAATTATCTGAAATCAGTGAAGAATAATGAAGACAAACCTTGTGGCAATACCAGTGCGATCCAGCTTCTGCATTAGCAATGCTCTCGATTGGGCATTTAAAGACTGCAAAGAAAGACGCTTCACGTCAGAGGAAGTCACATTTGTAGAAATTGAATTATTCATTCATATTATACACTTCAAGAACAGGCAACATATGGCTCCCACAATTGAAATTCACTGTTCCAGGATTCTCCATCCTTCCATGATTACATCTGTTTTGTTGTAATTCTGCAATCCAGGAGGATGGAAAAAGCCTTTCCTTTTCCCCTTTCCATGTCATTTATAAGTTCCTTTAATCTGCTTTAAGGGAAGCCGAGCATCCAAAAGTATGATTTACTAAACTGCATAGGTCAATCCCTTGATATATAATATATACACATGCTTAGTATTAAATATCAATATTTTTTGACGTTCCCTTATTTTTAACAATTACTGGAAGTATTTTATGCTCTTTCAGAATACTTCATTTAAAATTTCCATCATTTAGTCTGAAAACTGATATTTTGTTGATACTTATATTTGTCAACCTTCGGTTATTCCATTAACATCAATATTAGTGCTTAAAATATACATGAAAGTACTAACATTCAATAACATAATGAAAAGATTGAAACCCACCAAACCACCCCCATCATCATCATCAAAGTCTGCAGATTTTGCTCCAGTCTCTTGTGATCCAACATGATCCGTAACAGATGAAACCTACATACAGTGTCCAATAACTGTGTTAACATGGGATCTCCACAAAAGAAAAAAAAAAGTCGTTATGAAGGTATAACCAGATATACTGACAAGAAATCACAAATATTAAAGCTATCATTTCCCTCTAGAAACTTGTAATATCCAACTTCCCTACAAATCTACAATAAAAAATGCAAACCAACCTTGATGGTTCGACCAGCAATCTCCAACTTTCCATTCAAACTTTGAGCTGCCTTTGCATGTTCTAGATGAGCAAACTATAAACATAATGAACAAATAAATAAGTACCAACCAACATAAAAATCTTCTAAACAGAAAATGGGAAGTAATCACTGACTTGAACAAAGCCAAACCCCTTGCACTGTCCTGTCTCAAGATCAAGGGGAAGTTGCACGAGTTCCACTGGACCAAATGGTTCAAAAATCTGAGCATTCAACATAAATAAAAAAAATATTGTGAGGAAAGAACTCCTAATTTTATTAGAGAGTTGAAGATAAAAAATACTGTTAACAACTCCTAGTTTATAGTAGTCCCATTTATTGACATGGTTGATTGTTTCATAGTGTAGATTCATTACTTAGAGCATAAACTTAAGGTTTCTAGTCTCGGATTGATTAGTCGCTTCAATTTTAGCTTCAATTTAAAACCTAAAATTGAAACTCTAAGGGACCATTATATGCCCTAAATAATCAACACTGTCGATAATAAATGGGACCAAAGTTGAAGAAAATTGAAAAGATGTGAGGTTTTCTCAACACATCCTGCCTTTAAGAAAGACAGGACATCCTACACAGAGAGCACATGCATATATAAGTGTCCATATAGGGAAATGTCCTCTTGCCAGACAGTTGCTTATGTTGTTTACGCATAAAAGTAAACATATATTTAGAAAACTAAACATAGATGACAAACCAAGTAGCAATACCTCTCTAAGGTGAGTCTCAGTCATGTTAAAATGTAAGTTCCCTACATACAGTTTCCTATCAACTGCACCATATGGTCCTGCAACACCTACGGCCCCACCAGATGTGTTGGACTGAACAAGATTCTTTTCAGCCTCTGAAGGTTTTACCATTACAGGTTGTCCCAGAAGTAGTTGGCCAGAGAGAGCTATAGCCATTGGCACAGACATTGCATCATAAAACTCAATATACCTGCAGTATCAACGGCCCTACACAGTAAGTTTGATGGAACATACAAGACCTTAAACTCTAGGGCAGAGAGCTCAAGCTGAATTTCTTTTGATGAATCTGATGACTCATATAAAAGATAATGTTAGCTCATCACAATAAAACAAAAACATGAGTACTACATTAAAAACAGATCTACAAGAAAACACTAATAGGATAGGGCACATGGGAAAATAAAAAAGCAGTCATATGAGCTAAAGTTTGATAATGAAAACCAAATCATGAAAATTAACAGTGAACTTCCAAATAAGCCTTAACTAGGACTGGAAAGAGCACTAAGATGTCAACCACACTTTGAACTTATGAAATACCAGAACCAAAGGAAATCGAGATAAAACTGTCCACTCGCGCCACCCAAATTTTACCATTCAGAAAATCTGCTATCATAAATAAACTCCACCAAGTCATTACCAATTTCCACAACAGAATGGGAGGACCATTAAATGAAGAATTTGAAAAGGTGCACTGGGATGCAGAACGGTGCCCTTATAGCAGGAAACACGAAGAGGAAGAAAGCGGGAAACGATAAAAATTAGGTTTTTGTCGTCTACCTTGAGTACGCAGCATGAATTGATTAAACATGATTGCAAGGTATTCCCACCATCCCCCATCATTATCGCATTGCTAGTCCATTTAAGAATACTGTTAAACTTGATTCTAAAAGGATGATATGCAAACAACTATCCTACAAAGTACACACACATGACTATAATATAGTTTCATATAAATGCACATACCCAACTCCTTTTGACCGTCTAGAATTCCTGTCCATGATCAGTCGTACATCCCTCACCTGAAAGTGGGAAAAAAGAAACAATAACAAAAATGTAAGACCAAATAGAAATTCATGTATTGAAAGAAAAGTGGCTTATAGAGAGATATTTTAGATATTGACACTACGTGATAAAGCACCTAGTTTGGGGTGTTCACAACGTGACCGCATAACTCATTTGCATATTTTCACTCACCCCACATATACAGAATGTTGAGACAATAGAAAGTCATTATATTACTCGTAACTGAAGGCAGAGGAGCATGTACTGCAACAGGAAGCAAATGAATCTCAATAACATGCAACCATAATGTGTGAAGGAGTGTCTCATGCAACAACATTGTAATTATTATCAGGTATTAGGATTAAAAGATTAGAATCCTAATTCAGATATCACAAAATGAGAAAATAAAGGTAGCAAACCTGGTTATATATAATATAACATAACCTTCGTCAAAAGGGGGAAAAATCATCTAATAATCTAAAAGAATGAATGAATTTCAACCAACCTTGCCCGCTTTTGAGAAAAATTCATAAACATCTCTCTCGGTTGCCTTCAGTGGCATCTGTCATCACCAGATTAAACCAACCAAAGAATAGTCAGAGAAATTGCAAAAGGGAAAGAATTTGGTTAGGTTCGTTAGGTTCCCAAACTTAGGTTCATTACGTTCCCATATCAACAATCATTCTGCATATATCAGCTCAAATTTTATATCTGTAAAAATCAACTTGACTTTAAACATCCTAACATTTGAAATAAACTCTCAGTTTTCTCATATCGTTCTGACTATTTTATTGTGAGTCTGACTGATCCCTTAACAACATTTACTAAATAGCATTAATCTGTAATCAAAACTAAGGGCCCGTTCGGTATCATTTTCAAGGGCCATTTTCTGTTTTTGTTTTCTGTTTTCACGTGAAAACGTGTTCGGTGGGTTGTTTTGAGAAACAAGCTGAAATTGTTTTCTGAGAATGAAAATGAAAGTATGAGTAAATGTTAAAAAAAGACAGAGAGGAAGAAGAAAAGAAAAAAAAGGGGAAGAAGAAGAAGAAGAAGAAGAAGAGAAAGCATCAGAAAGAGGGAGAAGAAGGGAAAGGGAAAAAAGAGAGAGAGAGAGAGAGTTGCAGAGGGAGAGATGAGAGAAACCAGCCACCACATACCCAGCTCAACCACCATCACCACCCCATCTAACCACCACAACCATTAATTAGTGGAACCGGAGAGATGGGTTGATGGGATTCATGTAATGGAAGGAAGGAGGAGTGAGTGAAAAAGAGGGAAGGAAGAAGAAGAGAGAAAGTAGAGAAGAGGAAGAAGGAAACAAAAAGGAACGGGTCTGGGAAGGAAAGAGGAAGAATAGAGGAAGAAAGAAAGAAAGAAAAGGAGAAAAAGGAGAAAAGAAAAAAGAAAGCAGAAAAAAGATAGTTTTATCTTTTAAAAAACAATAGAATTTTTCATTTGTTAAATTATACATTTTTAAAAATATTTTTTCAAAACAGAAATTAGCAAAAATACCCTTGAAAAATAATTCACATAATATTATTCTCAATTTGTACTACCAGACATATTTTCATTGTTTATAATAATTTTGGCCTCTAAAAATATCAGAATTTAAAAAAAAGTAGAACTGAAATTAGTAAAAATACACATGAAAAACAATTGTACTACCAGACACGTTTTCATTGTTTTTGTTTTCTAAACATGTTTTCTAATTATCTACCAGACGCATTTTTATTTCCTAAAAATGCAAATTTGTTTTCTTGTTTTCATTCTCTGAAAATATTCTCAGAAAACATTCTCCGAAAACGTTAACAGACGGGCCCTAAAATTTCTAAGAAAACCAAGAACCCCTTAAAAAAGAATCAGGATTAAGACTTGATTGCAAATAAAATTAAAATAAATTTCTTGAAGAGCAAAGGCACAAGCCACATACCTGGTAAGCAAAAACAGTTCTCTGATCCCTTTCTGGATCAGCTTCAGGCTCCACCGCTTCTTTTTTGTCTTTAAACCTCCTGGCATTTGAATGTCATTTGACACAGTTAATAATTTGAAACTATAACATAATTATCATTTTCAAATGAAATGTTTAAGGATTACTTTTCATAACCTAGGCATTATGGTGCATTAAAAAGGGCAAGAACCCTCCCTTAATATAATCCATGTACTTGTTGGCATGCAAAAGAACCCCTTTCTGTAATGAACATATTATTATATTGTTAACTGTAATACGTCTCTAACTATTAGCAAGAACCTTGACAGGAAATCGCAGCTACTAAGATGACGGAATATCTGTATATCAGTTGAAATTTAATACTTTCTCCAAATTTTAACAGTTCAATACGTTCTCCAAAACAAAAAAAAATTCAATACTCCTCGCAGCAAGTAATAATTAACAGTTGAAGAAGAGAAGGACAAAATCTTGGTCTACAAGAGAGAGTTGCAATACCTAACACAGCAAAACATGATATATGTCAAATCTAATCATAAATTCCTTTTAAAACAGAGAGTAACCAGCCAAAAACTATAATGCCCTGGTAAAGAAAAGTTCCGGCAAACAATCCTGGGGCCAAAGCTCGATTCATTCTTAACTATTAATTTCCTAATCTAAAAGTAAAATTGAAAAAAAAAAACATCATTGTAACTACTCCGAGTGAACAGCGGTTGCTTAAGTAAAAAATGTTTGAAGGTGCGAGACAAATAATGCGTGTAGTTCCCACAAAACTATCCACATTACCATACAAAATACTTATGCAAGTACCAACACGGGCATTAAGAAGAGCAAACCAGATAAAGTATGAGACCCTAACATCACAAAACAACCCAATTGAAGCAAACAATCATATTATCAATACTAATATTACCTGCTCTCTCTCAACTCAATTTCTCGTTCCCTTTCTCTAATTTCCCTCTCCCTATCACGATCAGAGCGGCTCCTACTTCTGCGAGACCTCTCCTTCTCTTCGCGGTCGATACTTCTGCGAGACCTCTCCTTCTCTTCGCGGTCGATACTTCTGCGAGGCCTCTCTTTCTCTTCGCGGTCGCTACTTCTGTGAGGCCTTTCTTTCTCTTCGCGGTCACTACTTCTGCGAGGCCTCTCTTTCTCTTCACGGTCACTACTTCTGCGAGGCCTATCTTTCTCTTCACGTTCGGATCGACTCACACTCCTCCTAAACCTCTCTTTCTCCTCCTT